GTTCTAGGCATAATGTAGTACAAGATAATTAGTGTGCGGACCATTCTCATTTATATAATGCTCTGTGAACACAAATTAGTTAGCATAAATCAGTTAAGTGACGAAAAATTAGGTGTCTATTTACTTGTGATCACTCAGTGTATAATCCAACTAATATATAAGGACAACAGTTTCCCAACGTCCATTTCAACAGTCCGATCGCACATATATCTATAAACTACTTGACCGGTATGTCTTTGTATGGAATAGTATTAATATATGTTTCATCCTCCAGCTGCTTGATATTTACGAAGTTGAGAGGAAGGTATGACTGGACTCCTTATCTTAGTAAATACATATCTTGTTGGCTTCAATTCCAGTCGGGGAGCTTTCTTGATTATATTACTTACTTATGCCAACTATGAACATTGAATTAAAAACTGAAATAGTGACCTTCCATGATAGTTATACACAAGTCTCTATTCCACATTCAAATGGGCACTTCAGTACTGGGTCAAAATTGGGGACACGTGCCCCCTCCCCTCCAGCTTCGCCGCCTTTATAATCTGAGTGTATGAATATCTTGCGTTGGAAAGGGCTGTTAGTACCCTTCATTGATTTCTATATGGCCTTGTGTTTATGGGTAATAAGATCGAACCCCGTCACCGAAAATGTTCGCCTTTTAAGCCTTGGAGGCGTTATAATTTGACAGTCAATCCCATTATTCGTTGGTTAACAGTAGCCCAAGAATAGGCTGTGATTAGGGTTGACAAGCTGCCTTACCTCTAGTCTATCAGCTCAAAATTAAGGAAGGCTAGCGTAGGTAGTCCTTCGAGTATATAGTTCTGCGCAAAATTCAAGAAACAAACAAGGATATACCTACCTAACGTCAACTAATGTCAAAAATTTAGTTTTTGTATAATCTGTTCCACCGCGACTTTATATCGGCTCTGATTTTTCCATGATTTGCTGATTTGTAAATTTAAAATCGTTTTAATATAAGGTATTCAACCCTGAATATTACCCTCGTGTATACTTAGACGTTTCTTAATATAACTTCCAACTACAGAATCAAAGTTAAGTAACCATGAATGCAAAACAGAAGATAGAACTAAATTATTCTACCTTCGAAGTTCAATAATTTTTAGAGTGTCACATATTATCTAATTATTTTATTAAGACGGCACAAAGTTATGTTAGAATTAACATGTAAAGAAGAGAGAGCAAAAAAAGTTAACACTATTCACAAGCCTCACATGTTGCAGAAAATTAATAAATATTGAGGTGTTCCAGCCCACAATATTACACGTTCAAAATTATCATTCAGCAATTAGTTGTAATAATGAAATTCCTACTGGGTCTTTGATTTATAATTATAAAACTTTTGTTAAATATTTTAGATGTTAACAAAATAGATCAGCGTTTCTCATATTGAGGACCACAGACCCCCAGGGATTCGCGAAGGTACTCCAGGAAGTTCTCAAGTCATATCTGAAATTTAATAAACATATTTTTATAAATATGATTTATAGAATAAAAATTTTTGTCGTAGTATTAAATTAATTAAAATACTTAATTTTGTAATACAGCTTTTCGTGTACATAGAATCTTTTTTCGAAACAAAAAACAGCGATAGGTTTGGGGTCCGCGACAAAAACTTAAATTAAAAGGGGATCCTCGGTTTACTACACTTTGAAAACCGCTGAAATAGATAAATTAAATTGTGAGCACTTATAAACGTATTATAGTTGGTTACTTGAAAATTACAGAAGCTTCAAAGCTCTAAAACATTCTTAATAAAGGATCTGAACATTTTGATCATAAAAACTTTGTAACAAAAATGGTCTTACAGAGCTAATTGAAAACAGCTTCAATGAACACTAAATTATATCACATGTTATCCACATAGGTATCGTCTAAAGTTAAAATACTTTATTTTCATTGAAATTAAACAAAGATTGATAAACCTAGCTGAAAGCATTATCCAATAATCTGCCCTTTTATCACTAAAACATAAAATTCACCATTTTTCAGAGTAATTCGTTATAAGACCAATAGTTAAAGCAAGTTGTAGTGTAATTAATTCCACTAACACTTTTCAGGTTACAACCAAATTAGCCGAACAAGTGTAATTAATGATGTTCTAGATTTTATAAAATTCGCTTCTAAAGCTTTAGCGCTTCGAGGGTTACCATATTTGTATGCAATTCAAAAACTACATTAAAATCCACTTCACTTTAGATTTATTACGATAGTTCAGCTGGACTACTGTACATCCAACTGTACAGTATAGAGTTCAAGATGGCTGGTTAATTGG